TTCTCGATCAGAAAGCATAACGGTCGTACATACAAACAAGCAGAATAATAGTATAGATATTAGGTCTATGTAAGTTTGTGTGTGCACGCATACAAGCTTATACAGTTTTATGTTCATATATATGTTTGCTTGTAGGCATATAGTCTCTAAGTTCATGTGTTCATGGTTATTCATTGGAAGAAAATCAAAAATATTCTTTATACTTTGCACAAATTACACATATATCTCCAATATTCATGAGATAGAAATAGGTCACAGGATACTTTTGACAAAGGTATTCAGGAGACCTAAATATATTGTAATTTATTAACTACATTCACAGAATCAAAAGTATGACTATTGAAGTCATGGTTAATTTAAATCCACAAACACAGTCAGTATGACAATAGACACAAGATGTTTGTGGCATCTATGCATAAAGGACAAATCATGGATTCAACATAGGCCTCCTGTTAGCAGGAACAACTAAATTTGTACACATCAAAAGAATGCCCGAGTGTAGGAATTCTGGTTTAGAAAGTACATTTAAGGGTAAAGAGGTCTTGCCATCTTCATTATTTTCTTCTTTTTTTGTTTTCCCCTAAGTGTTTTTTCTGATTTTCATTGAACCTCTCACTTTAATTAAGATTGTGTTCCAATTAACAATGGCATTGTCATTTTTAACAGTGCTAGTGATGAGTAAAATTTAATAATGTTTAGGGACAACAAGGGACCTATTGGTCCATCTCGGCTGTCCTATCCTCTAAACTAAACTAAAACTGTCAAATAAATAAGGTAAAGAAACAAAAATCTTAAAGCCATGCCCTTATCATTCATATAGTTATCAAGTTTTTCTTAAACTCATTAAATTACTGCTTCCACAATGTCTGAAGGCATGGGTACATTTCAGAGGCCAACCACCTTGTTAGAAAAAGAAAACTCTCATAGCTAAAAATGACTCCTTCCCTGCCAAGATTTATATTTGTGTCCCCTAGTCCTACTATTTTCACTGTTAAGTATGAAAAAAGATAATGCATCAACACTATCAATTCCGTTTACAATCTTAACACTTTCAGCACGGGCTCAGTCCTAGGGACCAAACTTATAACCATTTTGTGCTTGTTACAGTTTTCATGCTTTAATTATTAAATTAGTAAGTGTATCTTCATGAAATTTTGCATATCATCAGTAAACATAACAAGGTTTTCATACGAAAAATATCATATTTTTTTTATTAAATTTTAAGATTTCTTAAGTAATATTTTTCTCATGCCTTTTTTCTTTTCAAATGTTGATTTTAAGATTAAAAATACCTTTATGCATCAGAAAGTTTTCAAATTTCATAGGTGAAATCTTTATAACCTCCAGATAATTATCAATTTTTTTTTAGAAAAACCTTTATATTTTACATGTTATTTTCACTACTGTATCTCTGTATTAGTTTGGTCGATTTGATTGACCTTATAACAACCATAAAAAATTAGAAAATAAATATATATTATGACTTTTTCATTTTATAAATGACTACAAATTATAACTTAGAAACACAAATACTTAGTCAAAATACTTCAAATTCCATAACATTATACATCTATATATATATATATATTTATTATTTTTATTATATTGACCTTTCAGCTGTGCCTGGCTAACATTACAGAAGACGCAATGATGGCAAACATGCATTCATGTTACTGTATCCACGGATATAAAACTTGCCTTTACAAAGTGACCTGTCTTGGTTGTATTTTAGTGGACTAGAATTTTGTAAAATAGTCACATTTCAGTTATAATACATTATATATATGTATATACATTTTTACTATTTATAAATAAGTTGTTAAACTTATTTTTCTTAAAATATAGAACAGTAAATAAAGAAGTATAGCAAACAATTACTTCTTCTAGCTATGAACTTTGTACTCTTTGTTGTTTGCCATAAGTTGTTAAGCTTTATGAAATTTTGCATGTGGAGGATGTGAAACAAAATGATTTTTTTTTAGGTGGTATATATACATTTTGAAATATCCACAAATCATAAATTAGTATGTCAATACCACAAAATTCCACTATAAGTTGTCAAGCTTAGTAACTAAGCTGTATTTAGGTCTAAAAAAATACGAAATTTTGAGTTCACTAATGTCTTACCTTACCACTTGGAAGAAAACCATCTTGAACAGTTTCCATAAACCTCTCTTCCTCATGGTTTGATTCAGTATTTCCCAATCTATATGCCTGAAATTAAATCCTCCATAATTATGAACTCATTAACAGCTGAAATCTTAATCTCACTGTAAAGTTTTTCACTAATTTCATCAGTATCATCTGGTGGTCTATAACAAGTTCCCACTAAAAGCCTTTTCCCTTTATATACACTAATAGAAACTCAAATGGATTCAATCTCCTTTGTGTGATCTTTAATATCCTCAACTTCAACAGGATATAACTCATACTTTACATATAAAGCCAATCCTCCCCCTCTCTTTAGAACTTTATCCCTATTATATAACCTATAACCTTGTATTTCAAATACAATTGTCATCAAAGTCATCTGCATTTAACCGTGTTTCAGTTATTCTTATTATATCAAAATACTACATTCCTATCAATACCCTAAGTCATCTGTTTTATTTGTGATACTTCTAGCATTACTATAGTAACAATTAAGCCTATCCTTATAACTACTTCTGTACTCATTTCCTATGCCAAACTTTTCCTGCCTGTTATTCTTTTTGCATTTAGGTTTTCTTGGCCCACACCACTGTCTAATCCTAGTTTAAAACTTCCCTTACAGTTGAGTTAATAGCCCTTGCAAACAAGCCAGATCATATCCTACTTAAATGTAAACCATCCATTTCAAAAAGCTCTCTCCTCCCATTTAACTGATCCCACAAGTCCAACCAGCCAATTTGCTCATCCTTGCATATCATCCTAAGCCCAGCATTTAGCTCTAATGACCAACTTATAATTTCATCCCCACAGTTAATTCTCAGCAGTATCCTTGACACAATTAAGTTATGGTCTTTTTCTTTGAATGCCTTTATCAACTCCTTGTACTTACTAATTAACTCCTCTGACCTACCTTTCGCTACATCATTAGCCTCTACATACACAACAAAAACTGCATCATTGTTAGCCCATTTTATTATATCTCATGCTCTGTCAGTTATATCCTCCACCTGTGCCCCTGGATAGCATAATCCAATCCTTTTCTCCCTATTTACCCACACAGACTATCCTATCCACATGCCTTGTCAAGGAATCACCTATAACTATAACCTTCATTCACATCCTCCTCTAATCCTCTTGTTTTCCTTCCCTCTAATAGTTCTTCAGTTGCACAAACAAGGGTACTACTTATTTACTTTGTTTAGTGCACAACAGTCAGTTTCTTTGAAGAAACTTGAGTTCCAACTAGATGGTGAACAAGAGCTAAGGTCAGCCAGAGAAGGCTTTGACTAGGTTAATTTAGTTGAACTGTAAGCTAGATTAATGTGTTTTTATCAGTTTGCACATTCATTATTATTGCATACTTTGTGGACTAGGTAAATTTAGATGGTTATATATATTTATATCAATTTCACGTGATAATATTAATAATACTCAAAAATCTATAACACTATAAGAGCTTTACTTTCCAATGTCTTCTCTCTTCTGTAGTGCTCTTATTGTATTTCTATTTAAGTGTTTAATCTTTGAATGACAAAGTAACAGCCCACTAAGACAATTAATATTATTATATAGTGGATTTTGTTAAATAAATAATGAAAAACTAAACTCATTATTAGGATAATTGTCAGTAATTGTTAACATTAACGATTATTAACTGACAAGTTACTGCAATTTACTCAGTACATATTTATAGCATGTGACTGTGGTTACATTATAAATTGCACTTATGATCAAAATGTATATTTATTTGAATCCAATGGACTTGCTTCTAAAGTTTTCCCTGGTTAAAATATAAGTGTATGATATTGCAGTACTGAAAGTTAAGTGTATATAATAAATGTCAGTTGGATTGTGAGGTCTATATTTTTCAGAAGTTATTTATAATAACATGGGTAAGTAAGTTTCAAAAGAATTGAGAGAAGCAAATAAAAAGAAAAAAAACTGTCAAAGATGTCTTGCATCATTTATTATCAAAACAGTGTTGTCAATCAAGATATAATGAATGTAAAAATGAATCTGATAAAGAATGATTAGAAAGGGATATTTACAAAATCATTCTAATAAAGTAGGAGAAAAGATTAGTTGCTATGGTATTATGGTCTGAACTGGTTTACTTAAACATAAAATTAATAGCTCAAATACATATGCATCATAGTAATTCCTATATTACCCAAGTGCATAGCTGAAGTTTTTTAAATTGTTGTTTTGTAATTTTTTTATTCTTATTTTGTATAGTGCACAACAGTCAGTCTTTTTGAAGAAACTTGAGTTTCAGTTAGATGGTGAACAAGAGCTTAGGTCAGCCATACAAGGCTTTGGTCGTGTGAAAATAGCCAATGGACAGTCAGGTTTTTTACCTTTACCTGAAGAGGAAGACTATGAGGATGATAGCCATCACTTATTCCATAAAACCTTACAAGATGATGGGCTTCAGAATGTGAGTTTTATAATTTTTGACATTATTGCGTGCTTCAAATTTATCACTTTATTGCCAGTTTTGCATAACATGCAAATCATCTTTCATTACAATGATATATTTTTCCAATAAATTCAGTAAAATGCATATTCACTTCCTGTCCAAGTTGGGTGATTGTGATAGGATAATACAATTTAAGTACAATCAAGCGTGTACTTTATACCATTTAAGATAATGCTTTAAGTTTCAAGTTGCTAGAAATACCATTTAAATAAGTTTTTTACACATAAATTACTCTGATTTCTTTAAATTTCTTATGAATTATGCACTAGTTTTGAGAAGCTGTTATGATCTGTTATAGGAAGTTGACTTCACAGATGTTTAAAGTAGAATTTTAAGACTTTATTCAAGTTCTACATATGGATATAATGTAATTTTTAAATCCTTATCCCTATAAAAGTGTGGTCAATACATTGCACCACAGCCATGTCTGTAGAGTTACACATAATTTAACTGGATTTACTGTGTGTATATTGACAAAATTTGGCAAGCTTACAGTAAACATTAAAATTCCAGTATGGTCTTACCTTCTCTGACACAAAGCTTTCTCGATTTTCTGCCCTCTAAGCATTGCTAAAAATTTTTTCCAATCAGCACACCAATCTATATATCCCATTAATTTTGCTCCACCTGTATTGGCGTAGCTAGCTTTCTCTGCTATTCCTGCTCAATCTTCACTTTCTTGATTGGCACTGTATTGTTTAGATGTGTGTTTTTTGCATGTGGCAACCATTTATGAACATGCTTCTTTGCAATTTCAATTTTTTTTTCAACAGTTCTATTTTACTGTATTTGCATTCACTTGTTTCAAAATTCTTTTTACATTTATTTCTTGTTACCAAATTACCAGAGATCTTAGTATGAATTTGTGATTGGTGTATAGACTACAGAAATTCCAGTTACAGCCATAAAAACAACTGGGCTGGTATGATTTCCCAGGAATTGGGTTCAATTTTATCTGCAGAGGAGGTACAGGCCTTAACTCACAGGGAGCTAGTTTCATATGGTCGGCCTGCGATTTCTTCTTCTTTTCAACGTGACAAAATTTCTAAGGAAAAATACAATCAATGATAAAACAGTTTTTTTTTGGCACATTCTTATTTTGATTTGTCACACTCTACAACTCTTCAGGAGTTTTCACCTTCCACCAGTTGTTGTGCTGTTGTGTCATTTGCTTGAGTGGAGAATTGTTCTTTTCCTCCTTTCTTTCTGTTGCTTCTAGTTCTTCCGTAGGATCGGTGGTAAGTTTTTCAACATATACACTTTACACCTTATTGATATACCCATGGTAGGTGCAGCTCAGATGCCCTTTGTGTGGCTTTGGCCTTATTTACAGATGGGAGAATTAAGTATTTCATGTCATCACTGCTCAGACTTTGGTAAGTTAGATATTTATATGTCCTCTGTTATCAAAGTTACCGTAGAGGAATTGTAAGCTAGATATTGATTGTTGCTTTGTTTTTAGGTAAATATAATCATTTTGCAGGTTCATTAATATTACTCAGTGGGTCTTCTCCTCAACGTGGATTCCTGTACGTGGTGAGGGGACCTCCCAGGGAGAGTTCTGTATTTTCAGTTACTTCCTCTGGGATCTAAACATCCACCCACGTGTTTGCCATGCGTGGCGACCTGTGAGGGGGAAGAGAGGATCCTCGTGGTTGAGTGGTGTCTGGGGCACTGCAACACATCACTTTGGCCATGAATTCCTGTAGACATGTGGCCTTGGGGTGCCCCCCCCCCCCCAGGGTCAGTCGGCTGGTCCATTCGGGCTCGGATCAACTGACTACCAGTGTTGTGCGTTCTCAATGGGTGTTGTGGGCATCATGTCTGATACTAGTGTTTGGGTATAGTGCTCACGAAACCCTGGCATTTCTGCAGTGTCCTTGTTTGACATTGTAGTGCGTCCCCTCGTAGGACTCCATCGCTGGTGGGTTTAGTGGGCACTAAATCTTTCTCTTTAATTATGGATCCCCCCAATCCAAATAAAAAAAATGTTAAAACTCTGCTAATCAGTAAACAACCACACCTAGAAGACTCTGAACAGCAGTCTCCATCACAAAGTACACCTGTACCTCTCTTTTTGATCCTGCATTCACTGTCCAATAAATCTTTAGGGCAAATGTCTCCCTTTTTTTATTCAGAAGGGCTTGCTGAATCTCCAAAGTCAGTTGAGAAGCTCCATTCTGGAGACATCTTGGTTGAAACATCCACAGCTAAGCACAGTGAACTCCTTTTGAATTCAAAGGCCATTGGGGATATACCCATTGAGGTTAGTCCCCACGCTTCCTTGAATTCGTCACAAGGAGTTATTGTTGAGAGGGACTTGAAGTCTATCCCCGAGTCAAAGATCCTTGCTGGTTTCTCCAGACAAGGAGTTTCAGAAATTCGAAGGATCTCACTCGTCAAGATGGAATTATGGTGCCGACCTCAGTTTTGATTTTGACATTTTCATCACCACGTCCACCTGCCGCTGTTAAGGCAGGTTATTTGAACTGTAAGGTATGGCCCTATATTCCAAACCCTCTCCAATGTTTTCAGTGTCAGCTGTTTGGTCACTCTTGTTGTGGTTCTGTGATGTGTGCTTGTTGTGGTGGCAAGGACCATGACACTGATGAGTGCAAACTGGACCCTCACTGTGTTAATTGTAGTGGTTCCCACCCCTCTTATTTTAGGTCTTGCCCTAAGTGGGTGGAGGAGAAAGAGGTACAGCAATTGAAGACTCTTAATAACATCTTTTATCCTGAGGCTCAGAAGCTATTGTTCCCTACTACATCTCGGACATATGCCACTGCACTACGCTCCACTGCTACAGTGGGAGTGCAGACGGACCTTTCCGTGCCTCCATCTGAGTCTTTCTCACGCTTTTGAGAGGTCTTCTGCCCTCCATGGATAATAGAGTTGATAGGTCTACATCTACTCCAATCTCTGTTCCCACTATTCCTTCCAGTGACTGCCTGGGTCAACCTCCTCGGGCACCAGCCTTTGGTGTCCGTGCGGGTTCTTCTTTGGCCCCTAAATGCAGGACAATCATTCGATCACATCCTCAGTCATTGGATTCTCACTCTGATGACAGAGATCTGCCCGCTCGATCAAGGGCTGGATCCATGGAGGTCGATCGACCTCCATCTAGTAAAGAAAAACGGCGTGGTCGTAAACCGAAGGGTTCTCCACCCTGTTCTCCTAAACCTACATAAAAATAGCCACTTTGATACAGTGGAACTTTCGAGGTTTTCATTCTAATCTTGATGACATTAAGGCCTTGATTGACTCCTATCATCTCGCGTGTCTCTCCTTACAGGAAATATTTTTGAAACCTACCAATACAGTCACCTTTCAGCAATTTTCTTTGTACCGGAATGACAAGATGTGTGATGGATGGGTAGATGGAGGGGTGGCACTGCTGGTCAACCAGCATGTGCCCTCCTTATCTGTGTCCCTCGATACACCCTTGGAGGCTGTAGCCATCCGTGTTTCCTTGGGTTGTGCAGTCACTGTTTGTTCTTTCTACCTGTCTCCTGGGGAGACTTATAATCAATCGGACCTTGATGCTCTCGTTGACCAATTGCCACTTCCATTTTTATTTCTGGGAGACTTTAATGGACACAACCCCCTCTGGGGTGGTGCTGATATTGATGGGAGGGGTCGTTCCGTAGAGCATATGCTCTCGGATCACAACCTTTCTCTCTTCAAAGCTGGAACATATACTTATTCTCATGCACTTAGTCAGTCTTTTACTGCCATTGATCTCTCGATTTGCTCCCCTTCACTTTTCACTCGCTTTTCTTGGATGGTCGACAGTGATCCACGGGGCAGTGATCATTTTCCTTTCATTATGAGGGAGGTTGGCCATGGTCGATGCCACTCGACCCGAGTGCCACGGTGAAAGCTGGACCAGGCTGACTGGCCATCTTTCACCTATCTCTCTCTGAACTTGATCCTGCTTTCATCTGTCTGCCATCAATAGATGACTGTGTGGTTGCAGTGACTGACCGTATTGTCCAGGCGGCTGTTCATTCTATTTCTAAGGCCTCGACACGTTTTCCACAGTATCCTCATCCATGGTGGAGTCCTGCCTGCCAAGAGGCATGGAAGGCTCAAAAACGGGCCTGGGATACCTTCAGACGGTACCCTCTCTTTCTAACTGCATTGTTTATCAGCGGGCCGTGCCCATGTTCGGCAGGTTCGATGTCAAAGCCAAAAGGAGTCTTGGATTCAGTTCACTACTAGCATCTCTTCTACCACTAGTTCCAAAACCGTGTAGGACAAGATTCGGAAAGTCACTGGGAGGTATGCTTCCCAACCCCTTTCCATCTTGCTCTCCAATGGCCAGGAAGTTGCTAATGCTCTCAGCCAAAGCTTTTCTCGTACTTCTAGCACTTCTGTTTCTTCCCCTGCCTTCTTGGCCATAAAGTCTTGGGCATAGCAATCGCCTCTTTCCTTTCGG